ACGGCCATATATCTTTTGGGATGTATATCGGTTTGAAATCCCTCCAAACTGCAACATCGTTCTAGCCTTGGAAACCCCTATCCCTCGCAGCTTTTTTTGCCTTTTTTTATGCTTCATACCAAAAATCACGCAACCAAAAATTACATTTTGAAACATAAATTTTTGTCTAAAAAAAATCTTGTATTGTTTTTTATCTTACCTAATTGCCGCGCGATTTTCCCACACCCTCCTCATAACAGTGTTATGCTCACTATCCCAACAGAATTTGTACTGTGTATAAATGAACAAGTTTAAATAAAAATAATAATGTATTTACAATTAAATTAATAAGCTGAAAATTAGAAATTAATACCAACCTCAAACCTATTAAACCATGCATTGATTTGAGGCATCCATTCAGGATGCTTTGATATCTGACTCCATTAAAATAATAGAATCTCCATCGATGATATAAACGCCGATGATATTACTCGGGCGACTTCAATGTTTGTGAACCTGAAAATAAATGAAATAAATTCAATAGTGATTATTTCATAAATTATGTTGTAATTTAAAAAAAAACTAAAACCTTAACAAACTTACATTGAAAGGTCATCCTTCCACTGTGCCTCGTATTGGCAGGTAAATTGATTCCGCTATGAAGGCACGCTGCCTCTGTGCTGTGAAGTAGCGCTGGAAGAGGCAGCATCGGTTGACGGTGCAAGAGGTGTAGGTGCCTCTTCTTGAGAGGCACCTAAGGAAATATCATCATCGCTGCTAGACGAACTAGCTGCAACCATACGTGAGTGACCAGCTCTGGTTTTCGTTCTACGCATCTACACAATTTTATACAAATAATTATATAATTAAATTCAAATGTTAAAAAAAATTCGACAACACCTCCTCTATACTGAATACTACCCAAATCCACAAATCTACACATATTAACAATAGCCACAACCAATTTACCCAATCTATACTAATTATTCCAACATATTCAATTCATAATCCTAAGGTAAATTCAACATTAAAAATTACAATTCAACAAATTATTCAATAATTATGCCAATACAAAAAAACAATAAATAAAAAAAAAACTCTAGAATAACAATCAAAATAAATGGAAAAAATTAAACCCAAATCATGCAATAATAAAGTAAAATTAATAATTATTCCAACATATTCAATTACTAATCCTAAGATAAATTCAACATTAAGAATTACAATTCAACAAATTATTCAATAATCATGCGAATACAACAAAACAATAAATTAAAAAAATCCATTAAAGTTAATTCTATGGTAAATTCAATATTAATAATAAATATTCAACAAATTAACTAATAATAATTATGCCAAAACAACAATAAAAAATATTCAAAAAATTCAAAAAACATTATAGACTTTAGCAATGAATTATGCAAAAAAAAAAAAAAACTATAGACTTTATCTACATTACGAAAAATACACCAAAACAAAAAACATAACAAAAAAATAGAAAAAAAAACCATTAAAGTAAAATGAAAAAGAAGAAATACTAACCTTTTAAATTGATGGAGATTCACGACAAAAAATGCTTGAGATTGTCGGTGAAGAACAGAGAGCAGCATAGAGAAGAAAAGAATGGTGAAAAACTGAGGAGAAGAGAAAATGAACTGAAGAGGCGGTCGGGGGGCACTTATATGCCAGTTTTACCGACGTATTCACCAACGAATACAAAATTAATTATTATTTTAATTTATTTTGTCGGTGAGGTGTTAAAAATTTGTCGATAAATTTTGAATTTCACACCAAATTTTTTAATGTCCCTCCATATTTTTCATGCTCTGTTGGTAAGTCCGTCGGCAATATGACGCGATCAGAGATGCATTTAATGCACAACGCTTTGAAATGCACGCGGTCTGTCGGTAAGTTTGTCAATAAAATTGATCCATTGCCAACGTGCTGACAGATATAAATCCATCGGTGTTGTCGTCAGTGATGTGGTGGCATTTCAAGTAATTACTTTTGAACTCTCTGTCAGATGCCGACGGACTTAAGGTCGTCGGTGATGTGGTGGCATTTCAAGTAATTATTTTCGAACTCTCTATGAAATGCCAACGAACTTAATGCCGTCGGTGTTGCCATTGGTGATGTGGTTGCATTTCAAGTAAGTATTTTTGAACTTTCTATGAAATGCCGACAAACTTAATGTCGTCGATGATGTGGTGGCATTTCAAGTAATTATTTCATGTTACAAAATATATCATCCATGATCAATAACTATTTCAAGTAACTATTCCGTAATTGTGGCATTTCAACTAATTATTTCAAGTAATAAATATTTTATGTTTCAAAATATATCATCTATAATCTGAATTACATGAAAAAAAGGGTTTTACATAGGGCTTCATTTTGGTAGTTAGTCATAATTTTCTTCTTCATCGTCATCAATTGAATTGTCATCACTTTCATCACAATCTTCAATATGAATATCATCTTCTTCATCCATATTTGCTTGTCCACTAGAGCTCAAAAAAAAATTCAACTCCTCTGCGTCAACATCAACAAGACTATCATCAAAAACATGAAAATTTGAATTTTCTTCAATTCAATCGAAGGAGCAACTCGATATGGTTCAACCACCTCACTAACTTGAAAGACTTCATCTCGCACACTTGTGTCTTCGTTCTTATCCTGAACAACCTCGACACGACCCCGGGGTTTCATTTTTAAAACGGACAACCAATCCACTCTTGATCGATCCTTTCTAAATGAAGGGGTGTATGTGTAATAAACTTGTTGACATTGCTTTGCGAGAATAAAGACATCGTTTATGTTGCGGAGTCTAGCTTTTAAGTTGATTTCGACCAGACCATAGTGCGGATCAACTCTGATTCCTCTGTCAGTCGTGTCATACCAATAGCATTTGAATAAAAACATTCTATTCTGCTCGTTATGATATTGTAGTTCGACTACCTCTTCTAATCTATCATAGTAGTCAACTTTTAACTCACTACTAGTGGATCCCTTAACACAAACACCGTTGCTGTATGTCTTTCTTCCTTACTCGTATTCTTTAGTATGGAAAACATATCCATTGACAAAATACCTATTGTAGCACTTACATTTTCTTTCAGGCCCCAGGCTTAGTGAAGACAATGACTTAGGTGCACTCCTTCCCATTTGATAAACCTTGTTTGTAATGTACATCAATAAACAGTAAATGAATGAGAATCTCATAATGACGTGCATAAGTACAACAATTTTGCAAGTTAGAATGAGTTTGTGATAGTGCTTACATGTGTTCTGAACCACGTGGCAAACTGCTCATCCTGTAATTGAAAGATCTGCGATTCGGTCAGCTGTGAGTTATTGGAGAGCAAATATTGTCGATGTTGCCTGCAAGTGATAATGAGTGTATGATATTACAATATATAATTAACAGTATATTACTAACAATGATTAATTAATATAAACTTACTGAATAAAAGGTCTTAGCTCATCACAGTTAAATAGAACGTAATTGTGTGCTTGTTTGAACTCTATTTCCGATAAATATCTTCCTCTTACGACATTTTTAGATATGAGTCGTCCAGTATTGGAGAATATTGACAAGTTCCCATTGGAAGGCACTTCACCACCATCATCATGCCGAGGAACACGATTGATTCTCATTCTCAGATGAGGTTCGAAATAGTACGAGATAAATGTTGAGATCTCCTCAACAATATAGACCTTACATATCGAATCCTCAACATGTGCCTTGTTCTTAACCTTTTTCTTGAGATTAAACAAGTACCTGCATTGAAATATTAATCAAGTATTTTCAATTAAGAAAAACATATAAAATACTTTTATATATGAATTACATTGCAATTGTAATATCTAACCATTCGAATGGGTACATCCATCTATATTGGATCGGCCCTCCAGCTTTTGCCTCGAACGGTAGATGTATAGGGAGATGCTCCATTGAGTCAAAAAATAATGGAGGGAATATCATCTCAAGTTTGCATAGTATTTCGACGATATTCATTTGAAGCCTCTCAATGTGATCAACATTCAACTTGCTGGAGCATATATCTCTGAAGAAATAACTAGTCTCCATGAGTGCATCCCATATTCCATTTGGCAACAAATCACAAAAAGCTAATAGGTTGAGTGTTTGCATAAACACATGGCAGTCATGACTCTTCATTCCATACAATCTGCAGTCCTCTACATTAACCAGCCGTGATATGTTCGATGCATGTCCACCCGGAAAACGCAGACTCTTAAGCCATTTGTAGACTAGTAGTTGTGTGTTTTTCTCTAACACGAAGCTTGTTCTTGGTTTTGCGACTCGTGACTCATCATAAACCAACTCTATATTTTTACAGTTACAGTATAAAGCTATATCCAATCTAGCCTTGATGTTGTCCTTTGTCTTCCCCTTCACATCTCTGACAGTGTTGAAAATGTTCTCAAACACGTTCTTTTCGATGTGCAAGACGTCAAGGTTATGGCGGAGCAGATTGGTCTTCCAATAAGAAAGCTCCCAAAATATACTTCGCTTTACCCAATTATGAGTCAAACCAAAACCAAGAAACTTTTGCTTACTTGATTGAAGGCCAAACACAATGTCACTGTACTCTGAGACAACATCATGCAATTCTTCACCAGAAAGACGCGGGGATGCAACATCTTTTTTAACTCTGCCAACAAAGAAAATTGTTTTTCTATTTTACGCTTTGATTACTAGGGACTAGTAATAAGCTGGTTGGGGGGTGTGATTAGTACTTAAAAGTGCATTTTTATCATGGTTTTATATCATCATTTTGCACTTGAAGTATCAATAACTCCTTAACTAAAATATATTTTATAATAATGTATCTAATAATATAAGATACCTATAATTTGTGGTAAATGTCTATTTTTAATGCAGGTCTATCACATAAATGAAAGGATTGATTGATGACTTGAAGAACTTAAATTGCATGGATAAAGAGATGGTCAAACTTAGAGAAGAGATGTCGGTGCAAACCAAACCGGAACACTGTTTGGTAATTGGTGTATATCTGGAGCTGCAGATCTCAGATTTAGGTCCAATTTATATGGATGGAAAGGTAAGACATAGGCCTACAACTTTCATATGGAGTCCAAGATCTAAAAAGGCCATTATCAAGTCCAAATTGTAGCAACAACAATGAAGCCCGAATCTGTCTTCCAGCCCGAGCACTGTTCGGTATTTTGGCCATATCTGGAGTTCTAGAAGTCCAAATGAGCTGAATTGTTTACACAAGATAGCTGAGACAATTGCCTACAACTTGCATGTTTGCACCTGGCTCCAGTTTTGACGTTATCAATGACGTTTTGGGCATACAAGAGAAGATAAGGATTGTCACCAAGTCAAAAGTTGGCCACCCACTTATCAATTAGTCATCAAATCAATAGTTCCCAATTTTGGCCTATAAAAGGAGGCATTTGCCATGCATTTAGGCATCTCGGTTTCCAGATCAAGATCATGCTCTTCCTTTCTCTCTTTGTATTTTTTGTAATGTTTATGCTTTGCTTTCATTAATATTAAGTTTATGCCTTTCATTTCCTTTCCTTTACTTAGTTAACTTTTATGTTCTTATTTTGTTTATCTATTTTGCTTTCTTTCATTATGTCTAGCTAAGTTAGTTATGTCAAGGTGAAAAGGTTACACTAATGGTGTAAGAATAAGTATAATGTAAACTTAATATGGACTTTAATGTTTGCTACTAACATGTTTTATATTTGTTATATTGTTCAATCTTTAATCCTTTGCTTGTTAAATGACTAATCTTGATTTATGTTGTATAACACTTGGTACAACAAATGCTTGGCACTTTCATAGCCCATAATGTATGGTATAACCGACACCTGAGCTATGAAAGGAACTTGATTTATTGTTAACATAAGTTATAATCATGAATGCTTGACGAGATTTACAAGTATTAGCATTAATTGAATAAGATGACTAATGTAATCATGTTAACAATATATAATCTGATTGGAACCTCCTTTGTGTGTGGTTTCCATTTCAATAATAAGAGTTTATACTATACTTGTTTGATATACCATTAGTGGAACCTCTAACCTTGACATTTGTTATTATTATTGTTTAATCCTTACATTAATTTTCCATCTCCAAGTTCTCATCATCTTCTTCTTCTTCTCTTTCTTTACTACTACTACTACTATTATTATTACTATTATTATTATTATTATTAGTATTACTAGTATTACTATTATTATTATTATTATTATTGTTATTATTGTTATTATTGTTATTGTTGTTGTTGTTGTTGTTATTATTGTTGTACTATTGTCATTTATAATTTGTACAATTAACCTCCCTGTGGTTCGACCCCGGTCTTGCCGGGTTATTTATTACTTCGACACTCCTGCACTTGGGAGAAGACATCAATCTTTTAGTCGTGTCAGAAATCTTTTCTGTTCTTTTTGTACCTGTGATTAAATGGCAAGAAGCAACGGTGACAGTTAAAAAAAGAAGCTTTGCCTCCATTTGCTAGCGTGAATGCCTTGTTGTTTTCCATGTAGTATGGACATGCGAGTTTCCCATGCGTGCTCCAACCAGAAAGCATTCCATAAGCTGGAAAATTATTGATAGTCCACATCAAAGCCGCCCTCATAAGGAAATTTTGTTTTCTCGATATATCATAAGTTAGAGCTCCAGAGGACCATAACTGCGCCAACTCATCAATCAACGGTTGAAGACAAACATCTATATTCCATCTCGGGCTGCTTGGACCGAGTATGACAGTAGATAAAAACATGAACTCCGGCCTCATACACATTCTTGGTGGCAAGTTATAAACTGTGAGTATGACCGGCCAACGAGAATAAGGAGCAACAAATGACCCAAATGGGTTGAATCTGTCTGTACACAACCCAAGACGCACATTCCTTGATTTGGCTGAAAAGTGAGGATGAATACTGTTAAAGCATTTCCACGCTTCGCCGTCAAAAGGATGAACCATCACTCCATCAACTGCATGGTGTGCTTGGTGCCATGTCATGTGCTCAGCAGTCCTTGGTGACATGAATAACCTCTGCAGTCTAGGTGTGATCGGGAAGTATC